GGGCCCTGCACAGGGCCCTAGGCTAACCGGCCAGGGCCAGTAGGGCGTTTTTTTAACTATCTCAGGAATCTGGGTGTAACAGAGGAATTTAATAATACCTAATCTTTTACATTCAAACTTTCCAGCTTAGAAACTTTACCCTTTCAATGGGAACCAGAGGGCTGCAAAGCATCCACCTCCCTTCCTAGGCTTCAGAGCGGCCCTGTTAGCTGGTTTGGGAAACAGTCCTGGAGGGACGCGGTTGTCCCCTCTTGTGCCCAGTATTAGCTCCTGGGCCTCTGGGGAGAGCAGGGCGGGTGCCCACCCTTGGGGAGCACGGGTCTGGTGGAAGAGGAGAGGTAAACACGCAGCCCAACCCGCGGCCAGAGGTGTAAACAGGTCAGAGGTGCTGGGGCCTGTGGAGATGACATCTAGGTGTGGGAGGGGTGGGTGGGAGAGGGGATCTGGCGTTGAACCAGCCGTGCAAAGGCCACGGGGCAAGATTTGAGCTTGGAGTGTTTGGGGGACAGCCAAGAGGTGACAGGGAGAGGGCGTGTGGGGGGAGCAGGCGAGGCGGCGGTCCTGACTCATCGTTGCCGACCCTGCAAAAACACGGCCCGCCACACTCTAGGGGGTGGCAAAGTCCACAGGCAGACACTGGGCGGCACGTCCGCGGCAGCTGCCTGGGCGCGTCACTGGGGCGGAGGCGGGGGACCAGGAAGTTCGCTGACGACGAGCCCTCCCGCGGCCCGCGGCGCTGGTAGAAGTTAACAGACGCAAAAGAAGGTGCCCGGGACGCCCGCGGACCCCGGAGACCCGCCGAGCGCCCGGGCACCGTCCGGCCGCGCGCCCCGGCCCGCACCATGCGCCTGGGCGGCGTGCGCAGCTTCGCCCTGGAGCTGGCGCGAGGCCCGGGCGGCGCGTACCGCGGCGGGGAGCGGCTGTGCGGCCGGGTGCTGCTGGAGGTGGCCGCGCCGCTGCGTGTGCGGGCGCTCGTGGTGGCGGCGCGAGGCGGGGCGACCACGCACTGGCTGGAAGGGCGCAGCGTGGGCGTCAACGCCGTGTCCAGCGACTACGCGGCCGCCGAGACGTATCTGCGGCGGCGGCAGCTGCTACTCAGAGGTGAGGCACCCACCGTCTGCACCCCACGCCGGCAGGACCCCCCCCCCCGCAGGGACCTGTCCCCAGGTCTGGCGCCCCTCTCCAGGGCCCAGAGCCTTCTGACTTAGGCGATCTGGACGGGGTGATACTTCTCAAAGAGTAGGGACCCCTCCCCAGGAGCAGAACCTTCCCTCTGGGACACCCACGCTCCTTGGACCAGACAGAACCTCTTCTCCTGGGACCCCCTGCCAGGTTCTGGGTGTCCCTTATTCCAGGCCTGGGTGCCCTTGACTTACAGGTTATGCGGTGAGGAGACCCCTCTCAAAGCAAGGGGACCTCAACCCTGGCTAGGGTCTGGGGAACCCCTGCGCTTAGGGTCCTCGATTCTCAAAGAAGTCCCCGTCTCACGTGCTCCTCAGCCTCAGTTTACCCTGCGGTGCCTGCTGCTGTGGGCTGTTCCCGAGGGTGGGGGTATCTGGTGGTGTTTGTGGGCACTGGGGTGTAGATGCCTCTGGGGTGAAGGGAGTCAGGGTGGGGTCACATCAACTGAGAGTCTTGGGTCTCTGGCGTGTCGTTACCGCGTTCTGAATCTCAGTCCACCCCCAGGGCCACACACCTGTCAGGAGCAGGCCAGGGCTACAGAAGGAGGGAGTTTGCCCCCAGCATCATGCTGTGTGACTGCAGGAGAAATGTTGGCCTCTCTGGGCTGCTCCTGGCAAAGCCAGATCTCACTTATACCAGTCTGCGAAATTGGCGAGGCCAGGTGCAAGTGCGACAGCTCCCAACAGTACTGCGTAAAACGGATGCTTTGCCAAAAGCTCCCAGGCGCCAGGGTCCCCGGCCACCCCACTCCCCACCCCCACCCCGCTCAACTACCGTGGAAACCGAGCGGGTAGCGCGGTGAGGCGGGGCAGGAAGGGGCCCCGAGGCACTTCCCTTCCCCAGGGGCTCCTGTCAGAGCCACTTTCACCCCTGAGTGCCCACCTGGCCCCAGACATTCGTTGAGGCTTCCTTAAAACACTGGAGGGTGACGCTGGCGGAACTACTGTGACCTCAAGCGAGGGTCCCCCTGCCTCTGAGCCTCTGGGGGCTCATCTGTGAAGCGGGCTGAGTAGGAGCCTCCGGTTGCTTCCGAGTAACCTCATCTCCTGCCTCGCCCTGAGCTCTGGCCTCCAAGCTTCACCCTGGAGAAGGGGCCGCCCCTCCACTCAGCCGGTGTCGCTTCCTCCAGGCAGCCCCCCAGGCTGATCCTGCGCCTCCTGCCCCTTGCCGGCTCCGACCCGCAGGACCGATAGCGAGGGGCGGGGCCTTGTGTGTTTATGGCCGCCCTCTACTGGTGGGCTGGGGACTCTGTCGCCCCAGCGACAAAAAGGGGAAGGCTGGAGTAAGAGGTGGGTGCGAACAGCGGCGCGTCCTGCTGCCACCAGAGGGCGCCAGCGCGCCGCAGACTGCACGGAAACGATGCCCGCGGGCGAAATGCCCCGTGAGGCTCTTCTCTGGGGAAACGCCGGCCCGGGAGCACCCTGCAGTCCTGCACCCGAGGGTGCCCGAGCGTGCCCCGTACTTGGCTCTTTCCTTTGGGGTGTGGGGGCTGGGGACGCTTGGATCAGGCCTAGGGACGCAGGGGCGAGTAGTTCGCCAGAAGCCGGAAGTCGGGAAGGGAAGCTTAGGCCGAAGCACCGAGGCGCGGCCGGGAGTCTCGGAACCTGTCGGTGAGCTGGGCGCGAGGCGCTCGGAGGAATCGAGCCGGGGCTGCGCGACCCTCCAAGGCCTCCCGGCTCTACAGAAGTGGAAACTGAGGCACCAAGAGGCTGACCCTTGACCTGTGGTCACGTGGCTGAGCGGGGCTCCTGAGGAGGGAGGCTCCTCTTCCTTCCCCCTCCCGCTTTGCGCTGCAGGACTGAGGCCGGCCCCTCCCCAACTCGAACCGGGGTCGGGCCCGCTTCCCAGCTCCGACTAGACGTGTCTCCAGTCACGCCTGCAAGTGGCAGCCAGGTGGTGATTAAGCCGAGAGGGAGACTGCTTTGCTAGTTGATCTTGGGCCTGGGTCTCCGCCTCTGGGCCTCGGTTTCCCTTCCTTATTCTCGGGACCCTCTAGAGACCGGCTTCGGAAGCTTCAGGCTTCATTGTCCCCGCCCCGCCACCGCCGGTCCGCGAGCTTAGAGCGCGACGGCGCTGAACCGGGGCGTTTGTTATTTTGCTCCACGCCTGGGCGAAGCCACGCCCCCGCCACGCTATTGGTGGATCCCTTTTCGGGGGGAGAGGCTTACATCTCAGGCTCCACCTCCGCCCTGCCGTATAAAAGCGGCGCCGCGGGCGGACGGCGCGGGGTTTCTGGCCCTCTCGGCGACTGCGCGTGCGTGCGCGGGGAGAGTTTGTATCTGGAGACTGCAGCGTCTTTAGCTCGCGTTCCGCGTCGCGGGTTCGAGGCCAGGGTCCGCGCGTGGTGGGTTCGCGCCCCGGGGCGTGATGCTGTTTGACAAGGTGAAGGCGTTCGCGGTGCAGCTGGACGGCGCGACCGCGGGCGCTGAGCCGGTGTTCAGCGGCGGCCAGGTCGTGGCGGGCCGGGTGCTGCTGGAGATGGCGGGCGCGGCGCGCGTGGGCACCCTGAAACTGCGCGCGCGAGGCCGCGCACACGTGCACTGGACCGAGTCCCGCAGCGCGGGCTCCAGCACCGCGTACACGCAGAGCTACAGCGAGCGCGTGGAGGTCGTGAGCCACCGCGCCACGCTGCTCACCCCAGGTACCGGCTGGGACCCCACGCCCACCCCGGCCGGCGGCAGGACATCCGGGATCCCGCGTAGCCGCTGAGCCACCCTCTTGCTTGTACCTACAGACACCGGAGAGACCACGACCCTGCCTGCTGGGTGTCACGAGTTCCCGTTCAGCTTCCAGCTGCCTCTGTAAGCCCCCTGCCCCCGTGTGACTCCGCTGGGTGGCCGGGGACCCAGGAGCACCAAGACTGCACTTGTCTCCGGGGGACCCCCAGGATATCTCTCTGCCCCTAAGCCTTTGAGACACCGGACCTTTGTGTCTGCGTACTCCTCCCCTGAATCCCCTTCTCTCTATCCCCAGGACCCTGGTGACATCCTTTGAGGGAAAACATGGCAGTGTCCGATACTGCATCAAGGCCACCCTGCACCGCCCCTGGGTCCCAGCACGCAGGACCAGGAAGGTGTTCACTGTCATTGAGCCCGTGGACATCAATACACCTGCCCTGCTGGTGAGCGACTACCCTGTGGGAGGAAAGCAGGGAGCAGGGTAGGCAGGGGCTGGGGGACCCAAAAAGCAGGGAGCAGGGTAGGCAGGGGCTGGGGGACCCCAGTTGGCTGCTTTCACCCTTCACCAAGCAGGGCTCTCAGTGGACCCTGGAAGGGAGTGGAGTGAGCTAGAATCCACTGGAGCTGAGGACAAATCCCGCTGTGCCAGTTTGCTCTGTGGCTCTGGGAAAGTGTCTTGCCCTCTCTGAACCTCAGATGCCAGGTCTTTGAAATGCCTGGCAGCCAGGGCTGGTGATTGCAGGGCTCACTAGGCACTAACCATACGCCTGTGCTGGCCTGTTCCTTTCATTTTTCGTTTTGTGAGTCCTGTTTCTGGTTCCATGTTAAAAGATGGTTCCTGGGTTATTATAAAGGAACCAGACCCTGCCCCAGGTTCTGTCCCTCGGCTGAGGATGCTTGGAGGCTCCCCCGGGGTCTGGTTTATACAAATGACCCATTCATGTCCCTTTTCTCCACCTGGGCAGGCACCTCAAGCAGGCGCTCGGGAAAAGGTGGCCCGATCCTGGTACTGTAACCGCGGCCTGGTCTCCCTCTCTGCCAAGATCGACCGCAAGGGCTACACTCCAGGTGGCGGCTAGGGTGGGCGGGCGGGGGGCCGAAGCCCAGGTCGTGCCTGGCCTGTGATGGGGGACTGAGGCCTTGCTCCCGGCACAGGAGAGGTGATCCCGGTCTTCGCCGAGATCGACAACGGCTGCAAGAGGCCCGTGCTGCCCCGGGCAGCCGTGGTGCAGACGCAGACGTTCATGGCCAGAGGCGCCCAAAAGCAGAAGCGATCAGTGGTGGCCAGCGTGGCGGGCGAGCCCGTGGCTCCCGGGCGGCGGGCCCTGTGGCAGGGCCGGGCACTGCGCATCCCGCCCGTGGGCCCTTCCATCCTGCACTGCCGCGTGCTGCACGTCGGCTACTCGCTCAAGGTACAGACCCCTGGGCCCTGGGGGCAGGTGGCTCTGCCTCGGTCCCCACCCCCAGGCTGAAGCTGGGGTCTCACTGGCCGGCATGGGGTGGTCCGGGCCTGTGTCCTCTGCGGGAGGGAACAGGTGGCCTGGGACCCTCCCTCATGGCTGTGCTCCCTCCAGGTTTGCGTGGACATCCCGGGCACGTCCAAGCTGCTTTTGGAACTGCCACTGGTCATTGGCACTGTGCCGCTGCACCCCTTTGGCAGCCGCTCATCCAGCGTGGGCAGCCACGCCAGCTTCCTGCTGGACTGGGGGCTGGCGGCCCTGCCCGAGCGCCCCGAGGGTGAGTCCCGCCCTATTAGGAAGACAGCAGGGCACACGCAGGTCCCCTCCCTCCCGCTGTCGCCCCGTGCCCACACTCAAAGGTCGCAGTAACGGTTGCGTTGGTGGCCAGGCACGGTGGCACACACCTGTCATCCCAGAGGCTCTGGAGGACAGGCAGGAGGGTCGCAAGAGCCAGGCCAGCCTGGGCAACGGGGGACCTGCTTCCCAACCAGAGGCTGCGGGTGGGGCACCCGGCGCAGAGGCCCTGGGTTCCGTCCCCAGCACCAAAAATAAAAGCGTCCCGTGGTGGCCCTGGATCCCAGGAATCCCAGCCTGAGGGCTCCCTGCCAGCCCTGCTCACCCTTCTGTCCCCTGTTCCCAGCCCCTCCCGAATACTCAGAGGTGGTCACCGAAGATGAGGTGGCAGCCACCTTGCAGAGCCCCTTCCCGCTGCTGCCGGACCCCAGGCTGAGCCTGGAGGGGCCCTACTTCACCTGCATCCAGGAGTTCCGCTTCCAGCCGCCCCCCCTGTACTCGGAGGTGAGCGGGGCCCAGGAGCCCCGGGTGCCTTGCCAGCCCTGGGGACCTTGTGGGTGGAGGCAGCGGGCGAGGGCTCCCCCTGGTGGCAGGGCTCCTCACCCCCTGTCTGCCCAGGGACCTCCCCTGCCTTCCCGGCCTCACGGGCACCCTTCTCCCAGGAGGACCCAAACCCCCCTCCGGAGGCCATGAGGCCACGCTGCATGACCTGCTGAGCGGCTCGGGGACACCTGGAGGGGCGCGCTTGCCCACATACCTCCCGCCACCGTGACCACGGAGAAGGCTGGACCAAGGGCCCACGAGCCCGAAGTTGAGGAAACTGAGTCTTGGGGCAGGGCCAGGCTGTCCACTGTCCCACTGTCCCACAGGACGGAGGAGGAGCCAGGCTGGGAGCTGACGTGTTCGGACCAGCCATCCCAGAGCATCGGTGCCAGCACCGGACCCAGGGGACTGTTGGGCCCCCGTGTGCCTGACCTGTGGGTGGTGCCGGGTCCCCCAGGAGCCTCTAGTCTTAGGGAGCCAGAGCCAGACATGGACACTTCCCGTCTCGTGAAGTCAGAGGGGACCCAGGGCTGGGGGCATCCAGAGCGGCAGCAGGGGAGGCCTGCAGGGGAGGCCTGGTTGGCTGAGGCTTTGGAGGACAAAAAGGAGCTCAGCAGGCAGGCGAGGGGGAGGGGAAGTTGGAGAAGGTCAGCGCTGAGTGGCATCTGGGGGCCACCACCTTCAGCTTTCGAATGGGGCTGAGAGGGGAGGTGTCTTCATGGGCTGAGGGCCCAGGAGCAAGGCGGTCAGGAAATCAGGTCACTGGAGCGACGTGGGGCAGCAGAGGTCCCTGGCTCAGGCTGGACAGCCCGGGAGTTCCTCCAAGTGCCCCAGGACATAGGAGCTGCCTGGCCATCTGTGGCCCGGGACCCAGGTTCAGGGAGGGACGGGCAGGACCAGCCAAGCTACTTACTACGTGGATGGGAGGCCTGGCTCACAGACGACTTCGGACTTCACGACAGTGACAACAGCATTAAAGCAGGCCCTGGGGACTCAAGTCAGCGTAGGGTGACATATCAGGGACCATTGTGCTTCAGCAGGCCCCCCCCCGGGGGGGTTGAAGGGGGCAGCCGGACAAGCCCCCAGCCGCAGGGCCCATCCCGGGGCTCGGCATGGGTGACAGGCCTTAAAATCACTATTTTATACAATTATTTTTGATAAAATAAAAGTGTGGCAGAAGAGACTGGCTTTATTGGTTTACGTCTTCTCAGCCACCAGGACGGCGGGTGTGGCCGTGACCACTATCCTGGGTGACAGTCGGAAGTGCATTTCTGGCCCATTGTGCAGAAGGGGAGGCTGAGGCCGGGGCTGGGAAGAGACTGGCCCAGAGACAGGCAGCCGAGCGGGGCAGGAGGGCCCTGTGCCCCTCACCTGCACCCTGAACAGGACACAGGGTGACCCTGCCGACCTGACTCGGGGCATTTCTGGATTTAATTGAGCTGAGATTCACATACCATAAAGTTAACCACAGAATTCACCACACTGCGCTTCAGATGTGCCATCAATGACTTTTATCTTGTTCCAGAAGTTTCCACCACTCCCCAAGGAGACCCTGTCCCCTCAGCAGTCACGCCCTGCTCCTCCTCCCCCAGGCCTTGGCAATGGGCAATCTGCTCTCTGTCCCTGTGGATGTGCCTGTTTTGAACATTCCCTGTCAATGGGGTCACCCGCTCTGTGGCCTTTTCTGTCTGGCTTCTGTCACTCAGCATGTTTTTGAGGTTCACCCACTCGGCAGCACGGATCAGGGCTCTGCTCCTTTTTATGGCCAAATAATATTCCTTTGTCTGGATCACCACCTAGCGCTGAGCCATTCATTCGCCGGAGGACTGTGGGCATGTGCTGGACCTTGGCACACAGCTGCGCTAGGGACATCAAAGGATTTCTTTGACTATCCACTGAGCTCTCAGTGCTGTTGACATGGAGTTGTGACTCATGGGACAGCCAGCCCAAGAGTAAGAGGCGACTCACCCAGGGTCTCAGGATCTGGAGTAATGCAGCTGCCACTCAAACTGGCTTCCTGGGATCAAAGTCCTCGCCTCCGCCCCTCCCCGCAGCCAGGTTCCCCAAGCTTCTGCGCAGGCTCCGCGCCAGATTTTGAGGCCCCGCCCCCGGCATCCTAGCCACGCCCAGATCTGGTAGCCGAGGCTGTGCCCAGAAGAGGCAAGGAAACGGGAGAGGGGACCGAAGGAGGTCAGATAACGGGTCCCCGAATACAGCTGGGTAGGAGCAGCTGGTGCCGGGGTTGGAACCCAGCGCTCCCCGCCCCCCGAGCTCCACCCACAGCTTAAGACAACTTCTATTTTATAAGGAGTTAGAAAAGGGGAGTTTGGAGCTCCCAGCACAAAGAAATGGTGAACGTTTAGGAGACAGAAATGGTCATTGCACATGGTACCCAAGTATTGAGTGGCCACACGGCACCCCCAAATATGTATACGTTTTAGGATATAAAATTAACCTTTTAAATTTTTTTAGCTTTCGGCGGACACATCATCTTTGTTGGTACGTGGTGCTGAGGATCGAACCCGGGCCGCACGCATGCCAGGCGAGCGCGCTACCGCTTGAGCCACATCCCCAGCTCTTTTTTGCATTTCATTTAGAGACAGGGTCTCACTGAGTTGCTTAGTGCCTCACCATTGCTGAGGCTGGCTTTGAACTCTCGATCCTCCTGCCTCAGCCTCCCCAGCCGCTGGGATCACAGGCGTGAGCCACCGTGCTTGGCTAAAAATACTTTAAATTAACTGGCAGCCCATGGTGGCCACTGGCAGGGTCAGGGGCTAGAGATGAGGGCTGGTGGCCCAGGCACTGGACCCTGGGAGATGCAGGTGAGGGCTGTGTGTGACTTCAGGTAGGTGACATACCCCCGAGTCTTGGTTTCCCCAATGGTGTCCCTGGGCTGTGTCTGCAGAGCCCCAGACCACACCCCCTACCCTGGCCTGATGTTGGCCCCCAATTTCTTCTGCTCTTTGTCCTGGGGACCACCCAACATCGCCCTGGACAGCTGACCTGGCACCAAGCTCAGAACAGAAGGTACCTGGGGTCTGGCTGAGGGCACCTGTCCCCACAGCACGGTCCCTAAGCATCCACATTGGTAGTTTCAAGAGGGGATGAACTGGGCGCGGTGGCACACACCTGTCACCCCAGCAGCTTGGGAGGCTGAGGCAGGAGGATCGTGAGTTCAAAGCCAGCCTCAGCAATTTAGGGAGGCTCTAAGCAACTCAGTGAGACCCTGTCTCTAAATAAAACACAAAATAGGGCTGGGGGTGTGGCTCAGTGGTCACGTGCCCTAGTTCAATCCCCAGGACCAAAAAGGGGGGACTCCCGACACCTGGGGTAAACAAGACCAAGACCTGTTTCCAGATCTGTGTTCCCAAACTGAGAGTGGCTCGGCATTTCTTCTAACATCGGATGTGCGTACAGTTCTACAAGACTCCCCTCTGGCAGGGCTGGGGGGACCAGACACCCGTGTCCTCAGGACTCCTGACTCTGCAACTGCAGGGAACCCGATCCCTACAGGAGGACTTTCTGGGTCAGATAAATGACACAGGGTGGAGCTGGCTCAAACAGTCCAATTCACTGACTTCCCTGAACACAGGGAGGGGCTTCTGGGGCCTAGAGGAACACAGTCAACTTAGTGTGAAGTGACCCAAAGACTCCCCTCCCCCCCAGCTCCTCCCGACTCCCCCACCCCCGCTGCTGCTGAAACACCCGGAGCTGATTCCCACCTCAGGGCCTTTGCATATGCTGTTTCCTCTGCTGAAATGCCCTTCCCTTGTGACTGGCTCCTGTTTCCCTTTTCAGAGACGTCCAGCCTCCTGACAAGTTACCACCTGCCATCACCCTCTCTCCTCCCTCTGTTCTGATGTCTTCATGGTCCTCACTACACTCTGAATTCCCCACTTAGATTTCACTTGTTCGTCTGAGACTCTGAGGGCTGAGTCAGGTCATGACTGTGTCCCTAGCCTCCGCCTCCGCAGGAGGAGGCTGTGGACTGACTGAAGGACTGGAGGACCCTACTTTATGGAGGACAAGAGTCAGATGGGGAGGGGGTGTCACCCCTTCTCACTTGCTCCCAGGATCCTTTGCACCAGGTACTTTGCTTGTGCAGAGACAGACTGCAGGTCCCTCTGCGTCCCTCACCGCCCCGTCCCTGGGTCTGTGACGCCGTCTCTCCCCAGTCTGTCTCTCTGTCTCTGTCTCTGTCTCCTCTGCCCCTACCTCCACCCTCTCCTTGGCTTGGACTTGCCCAGAATTCTGCCTCTGTGTCCCTCTGCCTCTCTGTCCCTCTGTGTCTCTCTGTCCCTCTGTGTCTCTGTGTCACTCACTCTCATTTCTGTCTCTCCCAATCTGTCTCTCTTGGTCTCTGATCCTCTCACCATCTCTGTCTCTGGCCGTGGCCCGGCCAGCCCTGGGGCCCGGGGTGACAGGCAGGCACAGGGTGACAGGCCGGCACCGCGCCCAGCGCTTGTTTTCCCGCCCGCACTGGCAGGGAGCCCGGCCGGGCTGCTGTTCAGGAATCCTGAGCCGCCCGCCCGCCCCAGCCACCAGGCACAGCCGGCTGCCTTCCTCCCGGCAGGCACATTCTGTCCTGAGCGGGGAGGGAGCGCTGGGGGTGGGTGGGAGGGGGACGCGTTCCTGCTGGGCTCCGGTTACAGGACAGCTTGTCCTGGTGGCCCCAAACTCCTGACCCGTCCCCTCCCAGCTCTGGGTTTAGACCTTCCTGAATAAGACCACTGCCTCCAGCTCACCTCTACCTCAGGACCTTTGCATCTGCTGCTCCCGCCACCTGCACTCCCTCTCCCTAGATGTGCCCAGAACCACCTCCTGGGGCACATCTCAGACCATGAGTGACCTGCCCAGAATGCCCTTCCTGTCCCTGGCCAGAGCACCCCTGGGTTCCCACTTCTGCCGTGGTGTATTAGCTTCCCTCTCCCTGGGGCTGTGTGCTTACCGGTTTGGTGTCTGCTGTGCCAGGGTCTCACTTGTCCCCAGTGCCCGACACAGCGCAGGGGCTTGGTCACTAATTTTACAATTGACATTGTTTCCTCCAAAGCTCAGCCCTGCCCAGGCCCCAGGACGGCATTCGGCTCCCAGCCAAGGGCTGAACTGAAAGTCCCCTCCCCAGCACCCCGCGCCCCAGTGGCCTCCCGGCCTCCTGGCCTCGCCTGGAAGGTTCCGGCTGCTACGTGCATCTTTTCTGCAAAGAGCAGGGTCCCTGTCCCGGGGCTGCTCGTGGGGGGCAGCCGTGGTGCTTGGTGGGGGGTGGGCAGGGCACTGGGCCAGACCTGGAGCCGCAGCCCTGGGGCCACACGGAGCAGGGCAGGTCCCCCGCCGGGGGCGGGTCACTGGTCCATCTGCCAGAGGCCCCCAGGGGCTGGCCCACTTCCCGGCCCCATCTTGCTTTGGATGTCCAGGAAAGTCCCCAGAAAGCACGAGGCCGGGCGTGGGGCCAGGAGGAAGCAGCCACTCAGCGGTGGCCCTCGGTGCCTGCCACAGGCGGATCTGGGCAGGAGGCGGGTGAACCAGGGCTGGGAGGCAGCCAGGGAGGGACAGGCAGGGACCCCAGCCCTCGGGACAAGGGGCGGGGCCTCTGCCCTGTGCCTACCTTTTGGTGGCTTGGAGCCTTTTGTCACCAATGATGTGGAGAAGGGTGCAGGGGTGCTCACCTGACTTTGGGGACCACCAATCTCTCTGGTGAGATAAAGGCCATCTACCACAAGGACAGAGCAGAGAGAGTCCTGGTGGGAACCAAGAGGGACACAGACACTCTCAGCCCCCTGTGGAGTCGGGCAGAGCCAGAGAGGAGGACTGGGCGGGGTCCTGGGACGGCAGAGGGGACACTGAGGCTGGGGCTTCCGAGGGGGGAAGAGGGGTCACCAGGAGCCGGGGCTGCAGCCTGGGAGGGTGTTTGTCGTCGTGTTCGGTCACCTGCTCCACCGGACCCTGGGGACAGCCCGAGTCTGCTTGGTGTGGCCAGCAGTCCTTGAGTGTGACATAAGTGGGTGACCCCGCGCAGGGCCTTGACCTCAGGCTGGGAGTCAGGGCTTCATTGGGGACACACAGGGTGATGACCAGGGGGACAGGAGCCACAGGGCAGAGAGCGGTGGCTGTGGGGGTCCCAGAGCCCGGGAGCCCGAGGTGCTGGGGCCACCGTCCCTGGGGAGAGGCTGCTGCCCCACCCGAGAGGA